CTGAACCCCACTGCCCGGCCAAAACCAAAAACAAAACATAACTTACCTTCCAAGCTTCCTACTTGTGTCAAACTAGCCTTCTGGATATTTCTCTCCCTTTCCCTCCCATTTTAAAAATACTTTCCTATTCACTGCATACTCCTAGAAGCTCTATTATTTTTTCTTACAAAGGTCAACTCCAAACCCTATCTTTTAATCCCCACAGCTACAAGTGCCTCCTTCCCTCCTCTCCCCAAATAATTACCTGTGTTGCTGTATCTGCTAAGATGTCTTCTACCCCACAGAACCTAAGCTCCTAGAGGGCAGAGGCATTTCCCTTAGTCTGGTATCCCAGAACCCACCCAGGAGTGGGCATTTAATAGTGATGCCTTCCACGAAAAATAGGGGTTCTCGTGGCCATTTATTCCTCTCAGCAAACACCCTGGCGCCCTCCAGCTCCTCCCCACACTTGACACACCCTCTTTGGGCTTTCTTGGTTCTCCGGCCCAAGGCCCCAGCCCTAAACCCCTTTAGGCTTTCCAGCTGTCAAACGACCCCAAAGCCAGCTGACCCAACCATCCCACATCGCAGAGGCGATTTCCTAGTTTTTCAACTTTGGGAAAGTGACCCCACGAGGACCTGCGGACAGTCACGCCCCCATCCTGACCTCTCCACCAAAAGAGACTTGAGGTTCTCGGGGAAGTTGCGTATCTGTCTAACTCTGCCTTGTGTATGAGGGGCGCGCTGGGGGCGGCTCCCACAACTCGAGGGAGAGCCCAGCCATCTGAATGCACCTCATGATTACTCTCCCTGTGCCCCCGACCCCGCCCGGCCTTGGGGCTCGCCTCACGGCCCCCCGCGCACCCCGAGGCTGACGGAGCCGAACTCTTGGCGGGAGCAGTGGGCGCCCACGCACGTAGGGGCCCTGAGACAGCCGCCGCCTCTGCTCGTGGGCAGCCAGGGCTCCGCGGGGGGCGCCCCCAGGGCGTTCGGACCGGGGCTGGGCTCGGACGGGCCAGACGGGCCACGAGCTGGAGTTTCTGCCGTGGCTGATGTTTTTTGCGCGCTCCTGGGGCTCGGCCCCTTGCCTCCTGCCCGCTGAAAGTCAGCCACAAAAACAGCGAACTGGGCAGCCGTGACACTCACTGGTTAGAAATCATAAAGAGACAGACCCCGCTCGCCTGACCGTCCACTCGAGCGCTGCCTTTTTTATCTTGGCCGCTCGCACGGCCCATTGGCTGTCAGCTGGCCCAGCAGCTGGGCCTTGGGGGGTAGGGGGAAGGCAAGGGGGGAGCGTCACATGTGGGATACTCGCCTTTCACTCCCAACACAAGCTCCTCTGGAAAGATGCCCCGAGTTCTTCCTCGCCTACCCCAGGTTATCGCGGGGACGCTCCTCGTTGCAAAGCGTGCAAATTGAGGGAGATTGGGAGAGTGTCCGCGGAGCGCCCCATTCATTAGGAAGGTCCAGGAGTGTTACATGGAGCCCTCTGATTCTCGGAAGGGATAAAATGATGAAAGGCTCTTAAGTCCTACACCTCAGTTTCCTTAACTGTAAAATGACGGGTTGGACTAGAAGACCTCTTTCCAGCCCTACATCGTGCGTTCTGTTATACATTTCATCAGGATCAAGGGGTCGCGGCTTCCCATCCAAGAGTGGAATGCGAAATACAAAAAATAACGGTAGTGAAAGCAAAAATCCATCTCTTCGAGAGGTACCTTCCTACAATAAGTCTTCGATCCTGGAATCCTGAACTCGTGCATTTGCATCACTTACCACCTACCAGTTCCAGGTGGTACTGGAAGTGGTACCATCACTTACCAGTTTGCTGGTAACCAACTGGCTGACCTTCCTTAACCAGCGTTTTCTTCAGATACCGCTCCAGCTCACGAACTTTAAATGGCTCTCTGGTGCTTGCAATTTAGATCTAAATGTTTTCGCCTGAAATGGAGACTCTTCCCAATCTGACCTCAATTTAAGTTGTACTTTAGGAATGAAATAATTTATGTAAAGTGTGTTACACAAGCACTTTACGAAGCATCAAGTCATTGTAAATTACTATTGCTTTTGTAACTTGCCTATAAGAATCTCAGGGTTAGCTTGGCATCATGCAATGGTCTCCAAACTCTTTTGATCAATTAGTTCTTGGCACTTGTGCCCATTAATGTAGCTATATATTTATAAATTACATACAAATACAATTATACTCATTTATAACGTACATTATAAAACATCTCAAACAATGAAATAGAGATGAAATTATTTAAAATTTTTATTTTATTTGCAGATGATACAAGAAACCTTTTTTTTGTCTAGCAGTATTTTAATTAATGACTTTTAGTGAGAGCAATGTGACTGAATGTGCTTTTTAAAAAATTCCTCGTGGAAGTCCTGAATAATAGGGAAAATTTGTAAGTAATAGTTCGTTATTAATTCATTAAATATAATCAATGTATCTAGCCTGGCCTATTTTTTTTAAGGGGAGTTTTATTGAAAGTTGCACAATGTAACAATCAAATAACAGGTTGCTAAGTTAGCGAAAATTCAAGGTTTTCACTTTAATTTTTCTACAAATGGACACATAATTCAGCCATTTGTCTAGTATTTCTTGCCCTCTTCAAGGGTGGGGGAGGAGCAGGAGAGAGAAAGAATTCAGAACTGAAAATAAAAATTATAATTTAAAAAAGTTTAATCATGTACAATGTCAAAACAAGCAAAGGTGAAGTTTCTGATTTTCAACTCAAGAAGAGTTTCAGGGAAATAGGGAAAATTTATGTGAATTGATGCAAAGTACAATAGGCTAAACCAGGGGTGGAAATGATATACCCAATGACTCCAATATAAATGCAAAAAAAAAAAAACCACAATGGGAAATTAATGCTGTAATTATAATAATAACATTTCCATAGTTCATTAAGGTTTACCAAGTGCTGGCTTGGTATCTCATTTGATCTTGGCAAAACCTCTTAAGGTAGGGGCTATTCCCATTTTTCCAGACAAAATGACTGGCCCTACCCAGGGTCACTGAGCTAATTAGGTGGGTAAGGTAGGATCTGAACAAAGACTTTCTGGACTTGAAATCCAGGGCTCTATCCACTCTACCACTTAGCTACCTATGGACCTGGAACACAGATTATATTGTTACTTTATTGATTTTAATTTTATTTAACGGTCATTGTTTTCTTCCTTTTACTTTTGTTTTTATGAATGATGGTGATGGAGGAAGGAGGGATCTATTGGCAAATGAAAGTGATATCAGAACAAAAGGGAGCAATAAGTTTTTTTTAATGAGTATTACTCAGAAGTTTGGATAGGTTGTCTCCGGAGGCAGCAAGGGTTTCCTCCTTCATTTGGAGGTATTCAAGCAAAGGCTAGGAGACCACTTTGTCAGGGACGTTTAAAAAGGGATGTCATGACTACGCATGTATAACCTATATCGAATTACGCGCCTTCTCAATGGAAGCGGGGGTAGAGAAGGGAAAGAATTTCAAACTCAAGGTTTTAAAAAGCGAATGTTAAAAATTGTTTTCACATGTAACTGAGGAAACATAAAATACTAAATTAAAAAAAATTTAAAGGGATGTTCAGCCAGGTAGGTGTTGACTTAGGTGACCTATAGGTCATCCCATAGGTCAACAATGAACTTCTCCAAATTCTCTGCTCTTACCGAGATACTATGGAATCTTACACACGGAGGTGAAGCTAGGGGGTGGCCCTAAGCTGGCAGTGAGGTCAAGACCTAGGAAGGTCTCCCCAGTGGTTCAGGCCACAAGTAGGGCCATCTGGCCAAGGCAATGTTTTTTGCTTGCTTCTGAAGCTCCTCTGAAAGTCAGCCAGCAAAACAGGAAGGAGGGGAGGCTGCAATCTTGGCCATGGTGTAGGAGACTGAGGTTCAAAGCAGTCTGGTCCTGGACAATGACTAAGTGGGTTTACAGGAGTGTTGGGGAAGGAGGCACACAGATCTACCAAAGAATCAGGGAGAGATCCAAAGTGAGCTGAACACAGACCAGATCTTTAAGGATTGAGATTTTCTTTACTTTTGCTTTTTTTCAGGCTGTGTAAATGACTTCTCAGCCCTAGGAGTAGGACTATGGGTCTAAATTGTATTTGTCTTTGGGGAGAAGGAGAGACTCACAGAAGGGGAAAATGAGAATTGTTTTCTTTCTTAGTTGTTAAAAGGTTACTGGGAGCCCTTTATGTTGTATAATAGTCTCTGAGCCAAAATCAAGGCTGTTCTCTATCCCAAATACACTGTGATCTGGGTACGTGCAGACCAGCTGAGAGCATTTTTAATGGCCGTGGGGAAGACCTGGGTTTAAACTAAACTCTGAGGTTCTCAGGGAAAGCTGGGATGGAGAAAAATGAACCAAACAATAACTTGGGCAGTCCCAAAGTTCGCTGGCATAGTACTCTCTCCTCCCTGGTGGAGATCAATGCCTTGAACCTGTGTGAGCCCCAGTTGTCTAGACTGGGAAAGAGGAGAGGCTCATTCTCGTCAAGGTCAAAAATCTTTTTAGGATTCTTCAGGCTTCAGGCACTGCTGACATTCAGCTTCAAGAGATAAGGTGGATGATGCCAACCCCACTTCAATTTGCTGAAGAAAAAGACTCTGGGGAGAAGCCAATACAAAAATGTACCTACAATCTCCCTCATGTCCATCTCCCCAGCTTGCTACACTAAGCACTGTGAATTTCTGTATGAGTGACATCTAAGACTCTTTTAGTTAAGCTGAATTGTTCCGAATGGGAGAGCGCTTTCATTCTGTATTTTATGATATATATTTTCCCATGTACACTTTCTCTGATTTTTGTTCTGTTATAAAAATTTGGATAAATGAGTTTCTTGGCTAAAAAAAAGTAACTTAGGGGTTGTTCCCCAAGTTTGAAACTATACATCCATATGAACCCAGAGCTTGGAGTGCAGGGCTGTCAATTACATGTTCAACTCATATTTGCAGAGTAGATACCCAATAACTATTTGCTAATTAATCATTCAATAAATAATCATTATTTTTTTCCCTTCAATGTTTTATTATGGAATTGGAGCAAAGGCATAGCTAAAATGTTTTCTGCTCTCTCAGAAAAAAATTAGGTAAAATCTCTTCAAATTCTCTCTCTCTCTCTCTCTCTCTCTTTCTTTCTTTTGCACATATTCTTTCTTTCATGCACACACACATTTTTTTCCCCTTAGCATCTTATCAGTAATGGATTTTCAGAAGCATCGCTGATGTACTATGTTGGGTCCGACCTCTTTAAATTCTGTAGCAGTGATCCACATATCCTGAAAGGCAGAGAGGGAGGCAAGGATGGAACCTCCCATCCACACAGATATTTTCCTGTCTGGTGGGGCAGAAACCCTCACAGAAGTCTTGGCAGGCACCATGAGGGCCAGCTCTTTTACTAGCCTCTTATCTAAACCAGGGAAACAGGTCGATCCCCCAGCAAGGACAATATTGGAGAAGAAGATGTTCCTTAAATCTGTGTCACATTTCATTATACTATTGAAACAGAGCTTGTCAATGCCAGGAGCCTCCAAATTCAGGTGCCCTGGAAGAAAAAGACTCTCTGGGCATCTGAACATCTCATCATGAAGTTTGATGGTCTTTCCATCGGGCAATTTGTAAGTTTTCTCCAACATGGCAGGATTCTTGGTCAGTTCCTCTTCAAAGTTGGCAGCTACATAACAGTGGTTCTCTTTGATGTGATTGACAATCTTTTTGTCCGAGGGGCTGAGAAGCAAGATGTTGTGGTCCTGGAGGAGTTTAATAAGGTACTCGGTGAGATCTCGTCCAGCCAGTTCCAGCCGAAGGACACCATGAGGTAGGCAGTAACCTTCAAAGACGGGCACACACTGGGATATACCAGCACCTGAATCCAGCACATAGCCTGTTGTATAGCCTGAGGCAAAGAGGGCCAGGACAGACTGGATAGAGACAAAAAGGGCCGGCACCTCAAAACTCTCAAAGAATAACTCGGTCATCCTTTCCCTGTTAGCCAGGGGGTTCAGTGCTGGCTCTGTGAGCATCACAGGACTCTCACAGGCCTTCATTTTCAAGTTATGTTCATAAACATTCCTCCACACGGCTTCCATGTCTGCCCAGGAGGTGACAATGCCCCGTGCCACTGGATAGCTGCAGAGAGCACAGTAGAAAAAAAGTAGCCCTTGGGTTTTCCTTTCCTTTCCTTCCCCTTCCCCCTTGAAGATTTCACTTTTCCCAGGAATACAAACCCATCTTGAAGGCACTAGGATCCCATGTAGGGACTGCTATGTCTCACCGAGGACCTCTGTTACCAGCAGCTATTGCCCCTAATGTCTCTTCTACTTCTTTGGCCCATCCCAACTTCCTCCTTCTTATTTTCCCCCAGCTTCTGGATTTTCTTCCCTCCCCTTGAGAGGGATAGTGGTGAGGTAGAAAGAATGTCACATCACCTGGATGTAAGTCTACCACTTACTATCATCTGTATGACCTTAGGCAAGGAGAAGAAGGAATCATGTATAATAATAATAGCTAACATTGATATAGTGCCTACTGTGTGTCAGATTAAGTCTGTGTGCTAAATCTTTCACAATTACTATCTCATTTGTTGAAACAATTGTAATAGTACTAATAGTAGCTAGAATTTATATAGTGCTACAAGCACTTTACAAATATTTGGTTCTCAAAACAACCCTACGTGGTAGATGCTATTAATATCCCCATTTACAAATGAGAAAACTGAGGCAAACAGAGTGTAAATGACTTGCCCGGGGTCACACACTTAGTAAGTGTCTGAGGCTGGATTTGAACTCGGGTCTAACCGACTCCAGGTCTATCACTCTACCCACTTCACCACCTTGCGGCCCCTAAAGATCTGTAAAACACTTCCCACCTGTCTCTCCCCCCCCTCCACGCCCCCAATGCCACTGACCACAGCTGTACAAGATATAGTGCAGGAAGCTCCCAGTAGCGCAGGGCTGTTTTTTGCCTTTTTTGTTTTTGTTTTTGTTTTTGTTTTTGTATTTCCAGTCTTTAGCTCAATGCCTGGCACGCAGTAAGCACTTAGTAATAATGCTCAAACTTGCCTAAAGTCACCTAGACAGCAAACCACAGGATTGGGAATCGATTCAGTGCCATTCAATCAATTAAGTGCCTATTATATCCAAGACGCAATACCAGACCTTGGGGAATAGAAGGAGAAAAATGAAGGGGATCGCAGAAGCTTAGCAGAGAAGGGGAGTTAAAAACGGAACCTTCAGAGTTAGGTGGAAGTTCACGCGCGTCCCAGGGCCCGAGGTCAGCTTGTACAAATGCAAAGAGATGCTAGGTACAATGCCAAGCTCTGGGATCAGCTGGTAGTCCTTCTAGCGTGACTGGAAGATGCAATGCATAGGTCGGGGTGACGTGAAATGGAGGAAGATCTTTGCTTTGGCAGCTGTGGGGAGTGAGGATTGAAGAAGGATCAATTAGAAGGCTATTACCATAGAATAGGTGAGGAGGTCCCTAATAAGAGAGATAGCCCTGTGATTTGAGAGGCTATAGATGGTAGTGATATAGGGCAGCTAGGTGGCTCAGTAGATAAGAGCGCTGGGCCTGGAGTCAGGAAAGCATGAGTTCAAATCCGACCTCAGATACTCACTAGCTGTGTGACCCTGGGCAAGTCATTTAACTCTGCCTCTGTTTCCTCACCTGTAAAATAAGCTGAAGAAGGAAATGGCAAACCACTACAGTATCTTTGCCAAGAAAGAAGTGTTGGACACCACTGAAACAACTCAGTAACAACAAAGATACTAGTGATATTATCAAGGCAAAATCTACAGACTTGGTATGCAGTAAGATTGGGGCAGTGAAGATCCCAGAAAGACTCCAGGAGGTAATGAATCTGGATGACATGTTGAATATGAGATGTGATGGGGGAATCTAGGAGGAGTTCTCCAGCAGGTGGTTGGTGAGGTGGACCTGGAGGTCCTGGGAAGGCTGAATATAAAGCTTTGAGAAACATCTGCATGCTAGAAATGATATTTGGTGGTTTTTTTTTAAAGGCCATTGGAGTTAAGTGACTTGCCCAGGGTCACACAGCTAGTAAGTGTCATGTGTCTGAGACTGGATTTGAACTCATGTCCTTCTGACTTCAGGGCCAGAGTTCTATCCACTGCACCACCTAGCTGCCCCATAGAAATGATAATTGAACCCATGTAAGTCGATGAGATGCCCAGGGAAAAAAAGTATAGAGCAAGAAGGGACCAGAAAAGAACACTGGGGAATACCTACAAGGAAGGGGCAGTAGATGGATGATAATGGAGCAAAGGTGACCGAAGAAGGGTTTGTTAAACACGTAAGAGGAGAACCAGGAGTCATGGACTCCAAAGGAAGGAAAAGTGACCAGCACATGAAGGGTCAGTCATATGAGTCTACAGCATCAGAGATTTAAACCTGATTCAACCCTATAGGCTAGAATCAAGGCTAGAAATAGAAAACTGGACTTCAACAAAGGTATGCCTCATCTACAATGTGCTAAGTGTGGTTTTGTGATGAAGAATTAAGGAATATACATCAAGTAGGATGAAGACTAAGGTAAGGCCATAGCATTTAGTGATGAAAACATCCCTGGTGAGGGGCTTTTTTAAAAAATTAATTTATCTTTTAAACATTTTTTTCTTTTTAAATTTTGAATTCCAAATTCTCTCTCTCCCTCCCACCCCATCCCCTACCCACTGAGAAACCAAGTAAACATGGTGTCAATTACATATGTGACATCAACACAGTGAGCTTTGAGAGAGAGCACTTTCTGTGGGGTGCTGAGGTCAGACGGCAGGCTGCAATGTGCTGAGGAGGGACAGGTCAATGTACAGTCTAACTGATGTTAGGAAGTGGGCAGTAGAAGATTGATGGCATATAAAGAAGGGAACTTGGGCCCAGATTTCCTGATTCCAGGTCCAACAAGCACTCTGCATACAGCTTCATCATCTCCAAAGTGAATCATGGATTGGGAACTAGCAAGGAACTTGGGGGCTGCTGAACCTAATGCCACTATTTCACTGATGAGGAAACTGAGGCTGGGAGAAATGAGATAATTTGCCCAAGGTCACATAGCTAATAAATATCTGAGGTACAATCTGAACTCAGGTCTTTCTGATTCTAAGTACAGTGCTTTCCCCAATGACCTACCAAGCTGTCTAATCTTTGGTGCCTAATCTCATCAACAAATGAGATGTGTTAAAGGGCTTTATATGAGATTCTATTTCATGCCCAATCACAAGGCAGCTAAGTAGTACAGTGGTTTCTGTTGTTTGTCCTTTGTTTTCAAAGAGGACCATGACATCAGGGAGGTGATGCCATGACATACAAGTGAATTGGATTTAAGCGAGGGAGGGCTGTGCAAAATCACCAGCCTCACTTTCTCCTCCAGAGCCATCTGGATCCAGTGGCCAGATATAGACCAGGACAACTGAGCCCAGGATGCAGTGGGTAGAGTATCAGAAAGACATGAGTTTAATTCTGGCCTCAGAGCCTTACTAGCTGTGTGACCCTGGGCAAGTCACTTAACCTTGTTTGCCTCAGTTTTATCATCTGTAAAATGAACTGGAGGAAGAAATGGCAAACCATTCCAGTATCTTTGCCAAGAAAACCACAAATGGGGTTACGAAGAGTTGGACACAACTGAACAACAATTTCACATCTGTCAGATTATTGAAGAAGATAATGGAGGAGCTACAGGAAAAAGGACATACTAATGCTATGTTGGTGGCATTGATCTAGCTATTCTAGAAAGCAGTTTGGAACTATGCCCAAAAATCTATGCCTACCCTTTGATCTAGCAATACCCCTACTGGGCCTATTCCCAAAAGAGATCAAAGAAAAAGCGAAAGGACAAATATGTGTAGCTCTTTTTATGTTATTAAAAAATTGGTGACTAAGGAGTACCCATCAATTGTGGAATGGCTGAACAAATTATGATATAATATTGTGCCATAATAAAGGGACAGATTCAGAGAAACCTAGCAAGACTCGTATGAACTGATGCAGGCTAAAGTAAACAGACATTTTTAAAGAACCAATTTTTGAGTAACAAACAACTTTGAAAGACTTAAGAATTCTGAGCAATGCAATGGCCAATCTCCCTCCTTCGGATGATGAAATATGCTATCCACCTCCCAACAAAGAGGCCATGATGGACTCAGGGTATAGGATAAGACATATATTTCTGGACAAGTCCAATGCAGGAATTTCTTTAACTTAACTGAATATTTGTTACAAGGGCTGTATTTTTTCCCCTTCTTTTTTCTTTTCAACGGGGAGAGAATATAGGAAGGAGAGAAAATTGTTAATTAAACTGTAAAAAGAAAATGCTTTATAAAATGTAAATGCTCTATTAATGTCATGGTCTTTTGTTTCCCCACCTACTCCTTTATTTTGCTTAATTCCACTACCTTTATTCTCCTCCACCCTCAAAAAAAAAAGGAGACAGTTTCCTTACTACCATTTCTGATTTTTCTCCTGACTGCTTCTTTCTCTAATTCAAAGTCCCTTTTGTCATTTCATAGACTTATAGGATTTAGAGGTAGATCTTAGAGATGATGTAGTTTAAGACAGGTGGTGAAGTGGATAACGTTGGGCCTGAAGTCAGGGAGACTCATCTTCCTGAGCTCTAATCTGCCCTGTTCCCCTGGCCAAGTCACTTAACCCTGTTTGCCTCAATTCCTCATCTATAAAATGAGCTGCAGAAGGAAATGGCAAACCAGTCCAGTATCTTTGCCAGGAAGGGTCAGACATGACTGACTGAACAACCCCAAAAGTTCAGGACTATTCCTTTTATGACCGAGTGGACTGAAGTCCAGAAAGCTTGGCCAGGTCAAAGTCACGCTAGGTAGTAATAGCAACGCTGGAATTTGAACTCAGGTCACACGCTGAGATTTGGGCCTAAGCACACAAACTTGAAATCCAGTTTCCTTTCCACATTTTGCTAAGCCTTAGCTCCCTTTACCCTTTCCCTTCTATCTCCAATCATCTTCTCTTCTTTTTACACCCTGACCCCCTCCCCCTGAAACAGGAAAAGGAGTTTACCTGATAGAGAGGGAGCCTCTCCTGGCCTGGGCTTCCTCACCCACAAACAGATCCCTCTGTGAGTTTTCGGAGGCCCCGGGTTTGCCCTTCGCCCGGCCTGTTATGTTGGCATAAATGAACTGGGGGTCCCTGTTTCCGGCCAAGCCTGCCTTCAGCACCTCAGAGCCATTGTCTATCACCACAGCAGGGGCATAGCTATTCATCCTATCAGCATCTACGCCTCCTTCTTTGTCAATGGTGGGGCCAATAGCGTGCTTCCTAGCCCCAGCCAGCTTCTTTTTGGTGCCAAGTCAATTCTTCCCTGACTTTCCCGGTCCCCCAAGGCCTCCTAAAGCATATGTAACAATGCAGGCACTATGAAGTCACCTGAGGGGTCTGGCTAAAGCCCCTCCACCCTTCCTGTGGATGTAGCCTTAGCATCCAAAATAAACTTGCTACAAAAAATGTTTCCCCAAAAGTGACTTCTCTGAATGTTTTGCCCATTTCAAGAAACCTCTAAACACACTATAGAAGAATCAATAACAACCCTTCCAGCTACCAGTTCCTCTGAAGGTCTCTGCTTGTTTTCTAAGGATTAATTAGGCTGCTTTGAAAAAAAAAAAAGATTTGTCAATTGTTGGCACTTCTCCCGCCCCAAACTTTCCTTTGTGATTCAATGAAATTGATCTAATTTTGTTTGGGGCAGGAAAGATCCCTGACATGCTTGACTTTAATAGCCACTACAGTATCTCTAATAGTAGCGTGAGCTTTAAGAGCTACAGCTTCCACATGTTTCCTTAGAATAATCCAATTCTTAAAAGTCACAATACTTAAAAAAAAACTAACAAAAGGAAGCAATGAAACACGGCTATTGAATGAAATCTGGCACTTTACTGACACAGACCTAACTAAAGGTGGGGAAACCAGCTCTGTCCACTTTCATCTAGTAAAGGTCAAGCATTTTGAGTCAACCTAATGTCAACAGAAGCACAAACTTATGATTACTGCTGTAACAAAAATGAAAATATATCGAAATTATTGCTTGGTTCAAGTCATTTGAACACAGCTATAGTCTGCCAAAAGGCAAGGGTTGCAGTGTCCCTTAAAATGGAGAATATCAGTGTTTTCTTGACTTAAACTTTGGAGAATACATAGTCAAGCCCCCTACAGGGACACTCTGCCAACTAGGTATAGGCTTAATAATGGTATTTCTAGGTCAAAGACTGTGAACAATTAATTAGTCACTTTTGTGGCATAGTTCAATACTACTTTCCAAAATGGCTGGCCTAATCCATAGCTCCATCAGTATGCATTCATGTGCCCAACATTCCATAGCCCCACAAACATTTGTCATTTGAGGGGTCAATTATGCCAATCTGACAGGTGTAAGGTAAAACCTCAGAGTTGCTCCAGTTTGCATTTCTCTAATTATTAGTGATTCTGAGCATTTTCAAATATGCTTATGGATAGCTTGGATTTCTTCTCTTGAGAACTGCATGTCCATATCCTTTGAGCATTATTATCCACTGGATATGAAGCTATTTTAAAAAATGTATAGCTAAGAATAGAAGGAAGGCCAGGAAAAAATTACAGGCAATCAGGACAGCTCTGAAAATTACATGTTGAATTTAGCATACATTTGTCATTTTTATACAACATTTATATATTTAATATGTGTTTAACACTATTTTTATATTATACATAATTACATATTGTATATAATGAATAATGTCTAACATCTATAGAAAACATATTTTTGTACATTCTATGAATATTTATAAACATATTTATTTTTAATAGTGAAGCAAGCTGAACATAATTGATACTCATGGTTTCCTGTATAATTTTTCCTGGTCTACTGTGTTGCATTGTTAGGGATCTGTAAGGATGTAGAGGGCCACAGACGATTCATGAGATCTCACTGAACGGCTGAGGCCCCTCTCAGGTGTTGGTCCATGAGCAAAGATTGCCTGGTTCGGTGCTCCATTCTATGCATCTCTAACTTCCCTAGTTACTCATTAGTCATTAACAGTGTATTTGTGATTAGTGGTAGGTAAGTGCACAGACTGTGCATGCACTGTCCTTGAGCATAGCATGGGCTATATGTCATTGTAACATGAGACAGAGTTCTTGTTATTTTACTATATAAATGAGTGCTTTGCTAAAAATAAACGGAGTTGCTGCCATCTTTTCTCCCGCCTCATCAATGCATGTTCAGAGTGAAAGATCAAGCTGGTCTTGATTCTTCAGGTGACTGGGAAACCCTAGGTCCTAGGTAGGCTCTGTAGCCGAGTGAGAAAGTCATGACATTGCATAAATGCCTATTTTATTTGACATTTGAGTTCACAATTTCAACAAAAAAGAGCTGATGCCCTTCTTGGGATGACTGTCTTTTGGATTCTACTATTACTATTAGCCAGCTGTTCCCTCAGGTAATTTCATCTCCAGATAGTCATTTGTCTAAGATTACTAAAGAACAAATATATAAGCAACAGGTGTCATGTTCTCGTAGATGACTGACAGCCTGTGGAAGACTGCAGCGAAGGAATTTGGTCAGCATCCACTCCCCTACCAGGCAGCTCAAACTAGTCTTTCCTCTTTGGTTACCCGGGAGGAAAGAGAGCTAGCAATGTGCAGGGGGTGGAGGTGGCCTTTTAATATATCCTCTCCATTCTGCTCAACAACCAGATCATGAATCATCATGGCTGGAAACAGACTTTCCCCAGATTAGGACTGGACCCAGGCAGGGGATATCTGCACGTTTCGAGGATTGGTCAGTCCACTCCTATTATACTCCCTTGATCCTTATTGGAACTCTTTCTTAAAAAAAAAAATTGGTAAGTATTGGGTATAGCAAATATCAGACGTCACAAAGAATGAAATTTACTCCATTTTAACAGATAGTCAAAGATTTGATAGGACTATAGGATTTCTCCTGAGTCCCCATGGGCACACAGACTCCTGACTTGTAAGAGTTAAGAATTTATAATAAACAAGAGTAGTAATGAGAAAAAAGAATGCCATAAAATTAACAATTTAACCCTGAATCATTAGAGTGAATTATTGAAAATAAAAAGTGCAAAATGGTAAGAGAAACAAGATCAGTGCTGACTATAATAATTTCGATGGTAAATCAAATATAAATTACAACAAAAAGCCCCCAAAAAGCCCCAAAGGATTTTAATTAGCAAACATATAAATTAATTGTCAAATGGGAATAATAGCTTTCAAGGACAATCCTGGGTTAGAATGTAAGCTGTTTGAAAATCTTTCAAAGGACTACAGATGATTATAAGGAGATTCCAGGTCACATGAGTAACTAGATAGAGGTCTAGACATTTTCTCTGATCCCCAGGAACTCAAACCTTTCCAAAATGGAAATTATACGCCAAAGATAAAGTTACTTAAGCTGTCTCTGTGGTCTAGGATACCCAGAAGCCAAAAGAAGATTTTTAAAAATACAAAAAAGTTTAAGTAAGGTGGATTTTAGTGTAAGGAGGGTTTTGTTACTCTTTTTTAGATAACAGTTTCAGGACCTTTGATAATATCTCCCATGAATTATGGTTGACAACTTCTACTGCACAGTTGCAGTAGGGATACAGGGGTGTGTGCACTGTGTTAGGTCATGATGATATTGCTAAAGTTAACCTGGGAGGCTATTGTTGGTAAGATACGCTCTTTGTTGTCCTATAAAGCAAGTGGACACTGGTCAGTGAAGAATTTTTTGGGGGTATTTGGGTAATGCATAGAAGAATGCATGTACCTACAGTGATCGATCCCCATCAAGGCGTGGGAGGAAATCCGTGTTTGCCTCAACTGACCCCCATTGAGGTTTAGGGGACCTTAGGATCTTAGGAGTCGTAGCTCTTACTGTTCTCACCTGCCCCTGTGAGAAGTGTGATTAGGGAATGCTGTAGGAGTTGGTGCTCCCATTATCAGCAAACTCCTTTTGAGAAGACTAGACTAAAATAAAGTAAGCTTATTTAACCCTTCCGAAGCTGTCTTCCTGTCTTACTGGATCAAAAGTGAACCCGTGCTAGAACACCTGTTAGTGTTAGGAGCCCTCCTGTGTTCTCCTGCCCAGCAAATGGTGGTACCTGTGTGTTTATCTGTGAAACACCAGGAACTCTCAAACCTTTCCAAAATGGAAATTATGCACCAAAGATAATGTTACTTAAGCTGTCTCTATAGTCTAGGATACCCAGAACCCAAAAGAAGGTTAAAAAAATACAAAAACAAAACCCTGCAAAACAAAAACCTAGGGACTGACTTTCACTGACCCTGAGCTCACTGAGCACTCCTTCCCTACCTCCTCTGCTACGGGTATCAAGGCTGCAGGAGCAGACCTAAGGACCAGACACACAGGCAGTCCACAAAACCCAATACAATCCTATACACTCTGCCACCCCCCCCCCACTGGTCCAATGGAGCCTCCATCTCCAGGATGTAGAAGTTTGGGCAGATGCCAGCCCTTCAGGAGGAAAAGCATGCTGGGAGCCACAACTCTATGGCAGCAACAGCACGCAGCTCTGAATTACTGATACCAAACTAGAGAACTGAGTAGCGACGGGGTTGGGCTAGGACACCAGGTCAACACACCTTTGCAGGGTGGGGGTGGGGAGGTTGGTGCTGTGACACTAAGCCTGAAGGAAAGGGCATAGCATTTAGCTAGGGCCAGTTCTGATCACTCAGAAGTCACTGGAGGCAGAGATCTAGGTTGCTGAACCATGAATTACCCAGTGAGAGAAGCTAAGATGCTTTGACATCTAGCCCCCAAGGAAATCACCATCAGAGCCGCAGAGTCAGAAAGTGAATAGGGGAAGACGGCAGGAGGGTGGGGGTAGGAGAGTGAAATTACCAAAGATCTCTGGGAGAAGAAAATTCAAAGACCTTGAATGTGAGCAGATAGATAATTATGAGCAGTTTCATTCCATAAAACTGAGAGTGGTGGAAGGCTAAACCTTTCTAAAGAAAGCCTAGCAAGATATCCCAATGGTATTTAGTCATTTTCTCTAAGATAGGGGTTCTTCACTTTGTAGTCTGGTGAAGCTTTTGAATCCCTTCTTAGAATAATGTTATTAAACACATAAAACAAAATACACAGAGGTAGATGGGAAGTCAACTATTCTGAATATTTACAAGGATGGGTTTTTTTGTTTTTTTCTTTTTTTAATATAAATTTATTTATTTTTAGCTTTCAACATTCACTCCCACAAGTTTTTGAATTCCAAATTTTACCCCATCTCCCCCTCCTCCCACCCCAAGATGGCATGCATTCTGAATATCCCTTCCCCTAGTCTGTCCTCTCTTCTATCTCTCCCCCCTTCTCTTATCCCCT